TCTTCATCCTTACTATTCATGGATGTCTCAGTTTCATTCACCTTCAGGTGCACTGTGGTGCTAGCTGTAATCTATCAAAGCAGCATCACCAGCATAATTGCTTGCGAACCGCGAAAGCTATTCTTTCCCTCTCTTCCTTTGCCTCTCTCTTTGTATCGACTCAAAATGCTCCTTTAAAAAGACAATCCAGGATCCAGGAACATCCCAGAGTTGGATCGACGATTGGTAAACATGTTCAACTTCAAGATCTATCCACTTTTTTGTTATATCTCTCTCTCTCTCTAAATGCATATATGGTTTCTTTCCAAAGACTTGGTATAGGTTCAGAAGCCCTACGCCTTCCCTTCCAAAAGCGCCTCCCACCAACACAACACTCCACATCACTTGATTCTCCAAGGTACCCTTAAACACGATTTGCTGACGTCCGTTTTGACTTGTGCTCGGACCCCCTCCCTCGTCCACCTCGGTGTTCCATCCATCCGCCTTCAGTTCCGCGTCCTCCGCGCGCCGTCCGCGCGCCGTCCACGCGTTGTTTTCCGCCTCGGCAGGTGGATTCCTTGGTCTCAAGCGCTACGCGCACGGGTCCGGCGGCCGAGCGAGCGAGCTCCGTGTCAGCCCGTGGCGGCTCGGTCCCCGGGCTTGAAGTGGTGGTGTTTCGGTGTGTAAAGGGGCCAATTGACAGACCCAACTTGGTCGCCTTGCTATGTTAAGTACCATGCAGCCTACAGTCCACGGCAACATATCATACATCCACCCAATGCCAAGTACTGCGGTTCCTTAAACGATTCATGGAAACGGAAGATCATCTATCTTTCCTGTAAATCAGTTGACCCATCCAGTCCAAAGAGGACAACCACCACGACCCGACCTCCTTTTTTTCGCCAGTCCAGGTGGAGTCCTTTGGTGCTGCAGCTTTGGCTGCCTGTCCCGAGGTGGTCGGGCTCGGCGGTGGACCGTACCGTGGAACGTTTTCTGTGGTTCCACGTGTCGGTTCCGCTGGCGGTTTTTCGATGACGACAGCCACATGGCAGTTGATTAGATCATTTGGTTTTAACGGATCAGATGGCCTACAAGAGATCATTGACAGAATCACCCAGCTTTTGCTGGCTTAGAGCCTAGCCATGCCAGATGACCTGCCAGACCCTGACCTGCCAGGCAATCAGCCGCCTACCAGCGGATGCATTTATGTCTTTGTTGACAAGTGAGGACGGCGGACCGAGTTCACCCGAACACCGCTCCGCCGCAAAAACCGGAACCCGCCGAAAAACCCCGGCTCCGCCGAAAAAAGCCGGGCTCCGCCGAAGAGCGGCGGCGGTCGGCGGTTGGTGTGGCAGGATTTGTCTGTGGCAAAGGAAGAAGAAATCTTTGATGCCGTCCAGGCGAGTGACGGCGTGACAGGATGTCCGATGTCGCATTGGGGATTTCTATGAAATCAGGGGGTCCAAGCCAGATCAATGTCGATCCAATCATATCGATGCTACATCTCCATTGATCAATTCTACATGGGATGGATTTTGAGCCGAAGATGGCACAGGATTTAGGCACTATAGGCCATCTGTAACAATCAGGGGTGCGATCAGATATGAGAAACCCCAATTATTTTTTGCGGAAACAGGATCTTTCAATCGATTGAACAGATCGGCCTAAATGAATCATGGGGAGATCAGAAGGCATATAGGTCATTATAGGTTTAGTATTTTGTTCCGTTCATTTCAACTTCCAGATCGATCTTCCAGTGTCTGACCACAGAGTTCCTTGTGAAAAAGCCGCGCAAACCACCGCGCCCAGGGCTGGGCCGCTGCAGCCAGCGAGCGCAGCGAGGAACTGCGAGATGCGGGGGGCAGCCGGCTTCCGGTGAGACTGGGATGATCCTGATCTGGGGATTGCCAACCAGGTTGGTGTGATTCGATGGTTGGGGAAAGACCCCCAAGCATCTTGGCCCTTCAACCAAAGGGCCATGTCTTGGTGTTTATTTAGTCTGTTGACGGTCTGTTAAACACGTGGTGTAACCATGTTCAAACATTCTCCCATATAATCTCCCATTTACCACACACCCACGTCCCGTCTCGTCACTCGTGTCGTCTGATCTTCTCCTTTCCGACCGAACACGATGATCACGATGTCGTTCGGATGATCCACCAGGATCCGGCAGCAGCGTGGCAAAGAATTGCTGAAGCAGATGTGATTTTATTTCATTTGCTGGACCCAAGGCAGGCGAGGGAACGAGGGAACTGCAAGGAGGGAACGGCGGCAACTGATGAGTTGCCGGACATTCCGCCTGGCTTTCCCTTTTTTTTAGGAGAGAGAGTGGCACAAGTGATCCCAAGTTTAGTGGTTTATATAGACCTCCATCTGTAAGTTACATTTAAGGGTTGTGCCATCTACTCTGAAACTAATTTGCTTGTTTTCTTACACTGAAAGCTTGTGGAGTGCGAGACACTGCCTACCATTCGTGTTTTTTGCCTGGTGATGCCACAGGTTCTTTGCGGAGAAGGTGGTGTTGCCGCAGACTTGGTAACAGGGCCGATGACTTGCCATGACAAGGATCATTTCATTCCGAACCAGAATATCCAAATGTACCCCCGATGTACGCCCGTTTATTTTTTACTCTTTGGGTGTCCAACAAGTCAATACGGAATCCATGCAATGTCACCACCGGACGTTTTTTGGTCCACAAAGGCCTGATCACAAGCAGCAACCCGATCCAGTCGCTGCTGGTCGTATTGCGTTGATTTTTGGGTCTCCAGTGAGATGCCCCCAATTTTTCAGGTTGGGCCGCTTGACGCAGGACCGCTTTTTCTCTTTTAAGGGTGTCAGGGAACATGTTTGCTCAGAGACGGTGGAGAAAGGCAGAGGAGAAACTTTCGCACTTTTGAGACCTTGAAATCCAATGTAGACCGTTGATTGTTGATTGATATTTCAACCTCCCTCAACCTCCCGAAGGCTTACAATCCAATTGGAGGGGCTTGATCAAACCGTCCCGACCGTCCTACGTCCTTCGAAAACGAGCCGGGGACCTTTTGCACAGCTCTCGGACCGGCTCGGTCCGCGTCCTCCGTCCGAAGGCGCACCGTCGACCGAACGTTCTGCACTGCAGACGACCGGATTGGCGTTTTGATTCGACGTAGTTGATGTGCCCTCCATTCTTTCAGATCATCAACTTGTTCGCTGGGCTGTATGCCATACGGAAGCGTCGCGCAGGAGCAAAGCCTGTCGGTGTTTGTGTCCAGAGCGATGGGAGACTGCCCGGCTCGGCCATCAAGCCTACTGGCAAGGCGCCGGAGCCTTGCAGCTAGAGCAACAGGTCCCTCAGATCGAACTGATGGTCCCCCATCTGGATGGTGTGCAGACTTTTTGGTGATTTTTCACCAGGTTTGGCCCTTTCATCAGAGCCTCATATTTTGAGAAGATGAAGTAAACGACGAAGGCAGCACCTAATATATACCTGTGTGCAATCTTGTTTCAAACACCCCGACGCCGCTCATCGCGAGACATCGCAGTCAGCTGTCAGCTGCAAACCCCGACCACCGCGACAACCGGCGTCGTTTCGCCGCGCGCGCCGCGCGCGAACGGGGCGCGGCGGACTGGGCGTGCCAGGCTTCAGCTGATTCTCCGTGATTGCAGCTACGAGGAGCGCCGGTTGTTGGGGGCGGAGGCGTCGGACGTGCCTGGAGCAGATTTGGACATACCCAGCACCTTAAAAGCTATATTACTAAAAGTCGGCATCTTATACAATCAGTGACAAATGAAAGCCCGGATGCTGAGAAGTTCGTCTTGTCATGTCTTGTCACCCGGGCTGTTCGTCTTGTTCCAAAGCGCTAGGGCTCGCCGCGGGGTCCGGTGTTCACCGATGTCAGGACACAACGTCCATTATTGATAGCATCATTGAGCTCAGGCGCCGTCTCAGCCCACGAGCAGCTTCATCCGATGTAGTGAACAAGCTGTTCGATCTGAGAAGGAAAAGGGGCAGAAACCAAAGTACCAGTAGAGCCAGAACCCTTACAGTAGATCACTGTAAAATGGGCCGCAAAACAACAATGGATCAAAGGCGGAAGATGAAAGACTTCGGGAGCTTCGGGCGTTCGATGAAACGGTTTTTGGTACTGTTTCAGGGCAATGCGGTGAGTCTTTGCTTTTCACTGAGAGTTGTGGCTGATGTTAGGCATGAAGACACCTACCCGAGAACTCTTGCCCATTGTCTTGTACAGAAAGTCTTCAGCTCAGGATGTATGCATGTGCAGGATGTTTCTGTTCTAGTATAACTTTCTATCAGAAACACTTCTTCTGCAAGAACGGAGAATGCAGCAAGCATCTTTTCAGATTGCAAGGATTGCTTACAATTCCGCGAACACTGTCAATCGTGCGTATCCTGCTTCACTGCCAGTCAGACTCGTGCAGCAAGTGCTTGGGGCCAAGGCTTTGGCTGACTATGAGCACTGCAGTGAGTCTCTTGACCTACAAGTAGCGATGCGCGCAGCACGTGGCAAATGGCAATGCCTTGCCCATGGGAATGCGAGTGTCAACTGTGTTGGTTGCGGATGCCTCGAAGTCAACTCGAAAGGCCGAGGACATAACAAACCTGACAAAAGGTAATGATGTATGGATCTATCTACAGATCCAGCGCTCACATCTACAGAGATCCAAGCTTTTTAATGTGTCACTTGATTGATCTAAGACGAAGCAACTGTGGCCAGTACGCCAGTACTGCGGCCATATAGGATTGCAAAATAAAGGACGAGATCGTGGGTCTGAGTCAAACGCAAACAAATATCTTGGGATCCAGGGGTTTTTGGTTGGTTTTCGATGATATTTTGTGACGATTCGACGATTCTACCTCGATTCCACCATATTCCACCATCTAACCCATCAAACCATCCATAATCATCCATTTCCATTCATTTCCCCCGAAAACGTATGTGCAAACCGTAATACGTAGCTTTGCAAACCTCTCGCTTCGGCGCCCGCTTCAAGTGGTCGTGGTCGTTCGGGTAGTCTAGAGTACACCAGGTCGAACGAGGCAAAAAACCCCCGGTGGAACGTACCAGGTTCTTCTTTTTGGTCCAATGATTTTGCCATCTTCATATTGAATTCTTTTAACATGAACATATCAAGTGAATTCAAGTGATATATAGCCCACTGATAGCTAGATATTCAACAACCACCCCCCCCGGGGTGAACAGCCCATCTCCCGCCTCTCCCACCTCTCCCGCCTCCGCCCAGGTGGGTCAGCATGTGGACCGAGCTCTGGGGTGCCTTGCGCGCCGCGGGCCTGCGCGACGAGTGTGCCGCGGGCCGAGCCCAGGGTTTCGAAGACGCGGTGAGAGGGGAAAAAAGGAGGGGAATGATGGAGCGTTGGTTTCGGTTTGGGGGGTGGAGGCGGTGGAGGGGGGGAGTGTTTTGGAATGGGGATGAAGTAGTCCTTGTCTTGCAATTTCTCGCCCAACATGCAGTGGCAGGATCAGATCATTTGGTCCCTTTGGGCATAGTTTTTATATGCTTTTACATCATCAATCAGGTTGACCTCTGAACATGATTCTCAGGGCATTGGAAACGTTCAGTTCCAGAACGGCACAAAAGTCGCTGAAAGCCGCAAGCTGGCGCTTTGCGGGCTGCTTTGCTGACAAAGATGCGACATGCACCTTGACAAAGACACATGCCAGCGCCAACAAAAATGCCGCAGATGTCGCAGATTTCGCTGTGCGTGGCTGGGAGCTCACACAGCTCACACAGCTCACTCGCTGAGGTTCGAGCTACAGTTGACTACTGCCCAAAGCTCGGAACATGCCACGCGACGCGAAGCGGGACTTGCCGGGACGGACTTATGTGCTGTGCCTTCACACGGGCGGACTCGGACGGACCGGGGTTCTGCCGGTGTCACGGGTTGCTCGGAACGGCCGTTCTGAGGTCAGAATTTATTTGAAGAGGAACCGTCTCCAGAGAATTTAGTTGGAGTTTGGATATGCCCACATGCGGGGAGCCCAGCTGGCCCCAAAAAGCTTCATCCGAACAAGTCAATGCTCTTGGTGCTACTTCAGGGCTTCTTCCTGGTTCCTTCTCCATTTTGAGACACACAATATCACACAATATATGAATGAATTCATATCAATTTTCATGGCATCATAACAATTTAACAGATTTCTTGCAAACTGCTCCTTCTGAGGACACACTTGGCTTGGTGCGAGCATGAAGCCAAGATCAGTCTGAACAGCAAACAGTAAAGTTGAAAATGTTCATGTGTCTCACTCAAATGGCAAGACTTACGAAGCTTCGCACGGTGAACAACTTTCCCATCCGAGGATCCATTTAATTAACCTTAGAGTGGAGGCATATGTCCCCAAAAGGAGGCAGACACGACTCACGACACCTCACGACCCACCGCAGTGGAAACCCACGACTGCGCCGACGGCCCGCCCGAGACACCGTGGCAGCCCAGCCGAGTGGGCCATGCGCGGACCACAACGACTGGGCTGGGCGCAGGTCTTGTGCAACCTCAACGACTCGCGCAAGCTGGCGGTGCTTCCTTTGATGAAGGTCCTGGAAGCTCTCGTCCACCCCTCAGCTTCCTTCCTCGGAGACCGCGGTGGAAGCGTGTGTTTGTGAAGCGGACACCGTTGGACACCGTGTGTTGAGTGTCATGTTATGACTCATTTGACTCATTTGTCCTTACAGTGGATTGTGACTATGAGTCGAAACAGAAGTTACTGGATTTCAAGATGGCTGTACTATGCTGTACTATACCTTCCTCCCATATTGCTTGGTCGAAAGATAAGCCCATGCAACAAGCAAGCGCACCTCTTGAATGAAGGACATCCGGATGGCAGCATGGCTTCTCCTCTATTGGTTGGTATGCTTTTGTGTGCCCGCCTTTTGGTATGCCTTTTACTGAAGTTCATACAAAAACACCAAAACACTCAATGAGGTAAATGACCAGGTAAAAACCTGGGTCAGACTGGACCTGTTTAGCTTTTCGTCGTGCACTGAACCCTTCAGGTGCGAAAAGCTGAAGAGTCGGCACCGCAAGGAGGAACGACCTGTGACCCAGCCACGGCCGTCGGGAGCTCTGGTAGCTCCTCACACGGCGGGAGTTGGGTCGCTCGTTTTGTCTTTGAAGCCCAGACGCTCCGTTCATCCCTCAAAACCGGGATTGCTTCGGGTCCAAACACCCCTCGAATTCGGGCTATGGCCCCACTGAACGCAGGGTCCAGATGGGTCCAGGGTCGCGGTCTGGGAGGGGCTTTTTCAGGCACCGCGGAAGAAACGGTGGTTTTTCTTCCATCGGCCTGAGCGGCGGTCGCGGGACTGTTCAGATCCTGACCTGTTTGGACCAACACATGGGGTAAAAAGACATGTCAATTTCAACATGAACCAACATGGAATCTGTGGAAAATCAGAGTCGCATCATCCTTCCTTCGATGTGTGACCCGGTTTCCTCAGGCCAGAGAGCTGGCGGCGCACCTCGAAAAGGCAGGGCGGAACGAACGAACGAATTCCACGCGGGCCGGATTGGTCGATTGATTGGCTGATGGTTTTTTTGACGTTAACCCTGCCTGCTGTGCCGTTCTGGACACAAGGAGATACAAGGAGGACATCGTTATACACAGTCACTAGACCTCGATGGTTCACCCTCTCTCTCTCTCTCTCTTCCCTTTTGTTGCTGTTTTTGCAGCTTCCCCCTGGTCATTTCACTGTGCAGTTTCCATGGCTCTGACAGATTCGATTACGAAGCGGCCATTTGATGGCTTTGCAAAGCCTTCCGAGCCTGTGGGGAGTCTCAGAAGAGCAGAAAGCATCAGCACATTAAAGCCTTCGCATGAAACATCTCGCGTCTTCTCATCCGGTAAATTCCATGTGCCTGAAAGGGTTTGGGTGAAACCATGTAAGCAACTATGTGAGCAACCAGCAAAAGCGATAAGTTCCTGACAGATAACCAGACGCCCAAATGGCTGAGTACGTCGCACACGCACCGGCCGTGCTCCATCTGAAAGCCTTCCCGCACCGCTGAGCACCTTCCGAAGCTTCCGAAGCTGAAAGGTCTTCGAATAAATAGGACTGTCTTCCTTGACCGAATCCGCTTTGCCACCGAATCCTCCCTTAAAGTTCGGCCTTTGGTTTCGTGATGTTTGCCGCGGAAACTGAGGCAACAGCGCTTGGAAGACCTGCCAGAGAATGGAAGCTCTTGACCAGCCGCGCTTCACTTTCGCAAGCGCTGAAAGCGCGTGCGTTTTTGGCGCTGCGCAGCGTTTTGGGCGCCTTTGAGAGGGTCATGGAGGTCAAAATTATGGTTTTCCCAAATGCATCTTTTCAGAAGACCGATCCGAATTGGATCACAAACAAAACGTGCCAATTTGGGCACATGAAATTTGAATTGGATTTTGGATTTTGCACGCGGCGACGCGTGCAACATGCTCTAGTCGAGACACTGCTGGGGTAACCGAGACAGGCCCGCGTTCTAGACACTGAGTCGGTAGTTTTTGAAGATCGGTGGGCGGTGCGGCTTACCCTGCAGTGTTTTCGTTTTGGGTACATCGTACATCCGCCTGCCAGTGGCATGGCCAAAACATGTTTTTTGTTTGGAAGGTAAAGACGGAGGGCGTGAACAGATGTCCATGGCGAATGCTATGCGGAGAAAAGACGGGGGCCCGCTTGGCCGCGTGATTTTGGCGCTCAGCAAGCGCTCAAGAATCTCGGAGCATCCATGGTGTCCTATGGGTGTCATCCATGGTGTCCTGGATTCCCACTGGGTCCATCCAGACCTGACCCTCGACCCTCCCACAAAGGCTCCCTGTGTCCACTCCTTGTCGACTTTCAGGTGACTTCCCCACCCTGCGTCGCCCAGTGCAGCGATCGGTGAAGCTTCCTAAGCACGCCCCAAGCCTGATTGGTGCAGCAGTTGCAGAACGCAATAGGGAACCTGAGAAAACAGTCAAAGGGAGACTGAGAGTGCATTAAAAGAGATTGAACGGTAATTTTGAACATTTGATGTTATTTGTTTTGGATGCCCTGAAGAAACAGCATGTTGAAACGCCCATCAGACCCCTAATATGAGACCCCTTGCTCCATCCGACGCACCTCGCCTTCCTCATGGCCGATGGGTGTAGCGCCGCGGACGTGGTGTTCCGGAGCATCTCGTCCGACCCTGAGCTGCACGGGAGACGTGACACCAGGTTCGAGTGCATGGCGTGACACCAGCCACAGTGGAAGAGGTTAAGATGCAGGAGAGACTCGTGAATGATTTTCGGACAAGTGGTTGAGATATGTGGAAATAAGATAGTTTGATTGAACCACAGCTAAGTAGATTTTGTGCTCAAGCTTTCGTGGACATAATCTTGGACACCACCGACTTGTCACCATGGCTTCCGCAAAGACTTTCCTTGCTGCTGGCGTCCTTGCTGCGCCTTGCGTGGATGCGTTTGTGGCGCCTAGCGCTCAGGGTGTGGCATTACGTGGCTCTGGCCCTGTGTCTGCCCAGTCCGAGTCCAGCTTTGGTGCCTCCTCTGCCCTTGCTACGGCATCTGCTGGTGTTGCTGTGTTGGGCTTTGCCGGCGCCAAGAAGCCTGTCGCCCGCAAGAATGTGCTGTGTAACTTCAGCAAGGAGACCCAGATTGGTGCTATGGATCCTGTCGGATTCTTTGACCCTTTGGATTTTTGCAAGGATGAGGCTACCTTTAAGGACTTCCGCGCCAAGGAGATTAAGCACGGCCGCTTGGCGATGATGGGCGCCCTTGGAATGTTGACTCAGAGTCTTGTGCAATTGCCTGGCTTCGAAGGTGTGCCAAAGGATGTGACAGCAGCAACTGTTGGCAACGGCCAGATTGGCTTTTTCTTGGTCATTGGCATCATCGCTGTGCTTGAAGCAACAGTCTTCGTCCAGGATGAGAGCAAGGAGCCAGGCAACTTCGGCAATCCACTGCCTTGGTTTGATGACTACTCGGACGAAATGAGGGCTCGTGAGATCAACAACGGACGCATTGCCATGTTTTCAGCTATTGGCCAGATTGCAGCCGGCCTCTATACAGGCAAGGCGGGACTTGAGCAGTTTGGCCTCTAGCTTTTAATTTCACTTTTCAGTCAGAGCTCGTCATGCTTTTGACTCCAGTCACACTTGTGACTTGTGCCAGATGCGGCAATAGCTTTGCAGACGCATGGACATGCCATGAGACACGGGCAGTGTGGAACAAGTTTTGTTTGCAGCTTTGGTGTTTTGCGTTGGCATCTCCTTTTCCAAGCTTGTGTTTGTAGGGGACATTGCATCTCAAGTTAAACCAGAGCTAATGTCTGCTTCAAACGCAGAAAGCTGTTCTTCCTTGCACCTAGACGTGCTCAAGCTTTCGTGGCTGTTTCCACAAACGAGGTGCTGAGCCCTTGATCTAGGACGTGTGTTGAACTTCATCCGAGACAGGTCGATATGTATGTTACATACTGACATACCCTCGAAGCATACCTCTTGTAAGATGGCATGTTGGCTTGTGGAAGTGTTTTTGATGTTGAGTTGCGCTGGTGGCTTCAAATCATTTTGCCTTCAAACCTCAGTTTTCTTGGCATTTCCTTGTCGGAAAAGCCATGGGCCATGAACCTATCTTATGTCAGTGGCAATCTTTCCTTTTGAGCAGGACAATGGTGAAAGGCATGAAAACAATATGAAAACATGGTTTTTCCAACCCACATGCTCCAAAGACACTCCTATCCCAATATGACATACCCCGAAACATGCCCGACAAGAAACCCAGCTGAAGGCAACTGCAGCATTGAAAACGGAAACCAGTTGCACACTTTGGAAACATACTCTTGGCTTCAAAATGGATTGCTGCCTGCCCTATTTACAAAATTCCTCACGGTTTTCCCTTTGTCGAGCCAATGCAGTGCGTGACACCAGTGGCACTTATTGTGGCGCTCAAAATATCTCAAAATCCTGTTAGGACAGCTATAGGTGCATATGGCAACACGAAGAAGCCAGATCCGGCAAAGATTTCGCAGACGCGTGGATATACCATCACACACGGTATCACACATATTGTGTGGAAAACATGTTCTTGAAAAAGATCTGCCGGATCATGCCGGATCTCATATATAAATGCGTATGGCGGTTTGCCATATGGATGGGAAATTCACAGTAAATGTGCATCTCTTTACCCCCTCACCCCAGCCGTTTGCGACGGGTTTGAACTCAGACGAGCCATCCCTCGGCACAGGCTCCGACCATTTCTGAATCATCCTGGTCTCGATACCGAAGGCGGCGCCGCTACACGAGCCCTTCGGAGCGCGAGCCCTTCGGACACCTGGGTTGGGCAGAAGTGGACTCCGTCGCCAGGTGTGGCTTTTCACAAGCCCATCCCGGTGCATACTTCTGAGGTTGGAGACGTTGAGACGTTGAGACGAACTATGCAGCGGTTTTTTGCGTCGTGTTTTTGGTTTTTCTTTCGTCACAGGGCGGCGCAGTGAGTCGAGTCGGACGCTGTCCTGCACGTGCAATCATCTCCACTTGGTGTGTCAGGCACCCAAATTGGCGTCCTCCAGCCGTGTGGAGAACTCGCACGTGTACTGGCACTAGGAACTCAACCAATGATCTTGATTCATAAACCCCCATATATAAGAGGTTCTTCAATTCAAGTGGAGGGGGGGGTTATCAATCAAGATCCTATAGAATCTAGAACATGTCAAAAGTTGCAAAACGCTGCCACTGCTCTATAGCTCCTATGGAGTGGATGCTTGCTGCCTTGGAGGCCACCGGCCTCACCGCGCCCTTCGAGGAGCTGCGGTTCCCGTCCGCGTCGCCGGCGTCGCCGCGCGGTCCCGGCGCGGCAGCGCAGCGGCGCCGGGAGCGCGGCGCTGGGCGCGTGCACCGAGGGGTGCCAGGCCCAGTTGGTTCCGGGGGAGCTCTTGGGGATCTTTGTGGCACGGACCGGGAAAGGACGGACAGGGAGACATTTGGCAGAAAAAGAGCACAGTGGCACATCGTGATCCAAGAGCACGGTTTTGGTGGTGATGGGTCGCTCAGTGACGCTCAGTCAGTGATTTTGGGGGGGGGGGCCGGTCATCACGTGGTGCCAGGCCTCAGACCGACCGGTCTGGAGACGGAAACGAGCCGCGCCACGCGTGAACGAGCCGCGCCAAGGCACCGGAGTTGTTCATGGTTTTTCCTCGGGGATGGCATAAGGACTTGACCAAATTGTTTGGCTAAGCTCTGACAATGGGTTCCTACATGTTCCTACACCATGAACACCATAAACATGAAATGATTGATCAACGGATGGATCACGGAGGCAAGAGGAGTCCACCTCGGCCAGGATCTGAGAATGATGCAGATGATAATCAACAACTATCCTCCTTCATCCCTTGCAGATGGAAGCAGGCAGATGATGCATTTTGTCCAATCCATTTTCAACAACATCCCAACAATTCCCCAACTTGTTCTTTTTCTATCCATGCTTGTTGGTACCGAAGGGGTGTTTTTTTTTTTTTTAACCTGGTAGTCATCCTTGAAGTGACCCGTAGTGACCTGGAACAGCATCCCCAACCAGAACCACTGAGTCTGATCCATTTGGTTTCAGAAAGAAGATGAAAGAAGCTATGTACATTAAAGAAGATCATTGGAATGCACTGAATGCACCGTTGTTTCTTCGACATCACCCCACTACCCCAGTAGCCTGCAGATCCCAACCCGAGGTGCCCATCTGCATAGGCCGGCGGTGCTGGGCGGCGCTGGGCGGCGCTGGGCGGTGCTGGGCGGTGCTGGGCTGGTCGGTTCGCGCCCCGGAGGCCAAGTGGATCGTCGCACCTGGCCGAAGCGAGCCAAGCAGGTGGGGGGCGGGGGCGCGGCGGCGCGGATGAAGCGAACACATCCAGCCAGGATGGTGACTGGATACAGTAGTCCTGTAGTCCTGGTAGTAGTCTTATAGTGGTAGTCATGGTATGGGGGGGGTTAGGTGGAGGTCTATCATTCAGCCGAATTGGTGGTGCATACTTGCTGCGGGATCTAAGTTGCCAATCCATGGTCCTCGATCTATTGAATTCTTTTGGTCGATCTTTGTGCCCCAGCTCACCAAGGTTGCTTACATTTTCGAAAGAATTTTGTCATGCTCCAAGGATTGCGGTTTTTACATCCTTGTGATTCTGTAGTGGTGGCAGTGGAGGTCAACTTCGAGTTATAATCACAAAATGCTTAGCGCAACCTGTCCAGGGTCACTTGGTTATGTATTGTCCAGGTTTGCTCGACCGTGGCATACCATGACTGTCGTGTCGTGTCTCCGGTTGTTGAAACTGCAGAGTTCTCGATCGACCGTGCCACCGTGCCGTTGTGCCGGGCTCCGGCTCGGTCGGGAGTTCACGGAAGGGGGACCGTTTTGGAGCATCTCCAGCCACCATTTCCGTGTCAATCCGTGACGATAGTCTATTCCGTATAAAAATTCTACCCCATTCAACCCCCCCCATATCAAGAGGCGTTTCAATCCAAATAAAAAAAGCTCATGAATCCAGTCTACAATTGGACTTGATAGTGTTTGGGACGCCCCGTCGACCAAAGGGATCCCAAGGGCTCTCGCTCGACGCCCAGGGCGAGGAACTGCCGCGGTTTTCCGAGGAGTGCTGGGGTTGCAGGTGAGGGGACGCCTGGTTTGGACAGCCTTGGCCAGGAAGATTCGCCTTACTTATCCCAAGCGAAGACACGGAGTTGGGGGTCCGAAGTTGGGGGTCTTTCACAGACACCGGAGGGGCCCCCTAACGTGTCACCATGTTGGAGGATTTTTGATTAATTTGGGCTCTTCTTACTGATATAAGTCATTCCGGGCTTCCGTAGTCTTTCGTAGCCCCCTTGGTGTTCCACCAAACCAACCCCCCCCCCCGGTGGCGTGGCACCTCACCGCCCACCTTGGAACGCGGTGCCAACTCTAGGAGCCCGATGATCCGCGCGTCTTCGTGCCCGCGCATCGCATTGGGGATGTGGCTGGCCCAGCGGTGGAGGGGTGTTCACAACGGATTCATTCTTATATTCATATTACTTCATATTATGTCTTTCTTTCTTATAACACATGTTCGTTATATCTTTAATTTAGACATTATATACACATTTGGACCGCTTAGATCCGCTTAGCTGGCTTGGCTTGTTGAAGACGAGAACCCGTCACTTCCACGTGTGTCGTCGGGAGCCCAGGCTCCGAAGAGATCTTTTCTGCCAGTCAGTGATAGGAAAGACGACAGGCAAGGCTCTCAGAGGTGGAGATGTGGAGTGAGGGATCATGAGGCGTTCTGACTGAATAGCCGCAAGGCGGACAAGGCGGATGGCTTTAACGGACGTTCGGACACGCCACCATGGGTGATTTCATGCATTTCAAGTACCTCGGATTGCATTTGGACCCTCCTGGCACCCACCCCAGTCCCACCTTCGCAGAGGGCACTTTATGGCCATATAGGGTGCATGTTGTTTTGGGGATTTGGAACTTTCAATTGCAGATCCTCTTCACAGGTCTCTCATGGATTCTGTGAAAAGTCACTCTGTTCATCTCGGTTCTATGTCGCCAATTCCTTTTGGCTCGGCCCCGCTGGTGATGCGGCTCCGCTCTGCAGGCCGAGGAGGCACTCCGAGAAGCGATCATTTGGACACTCGTTTGGATCTCAGGGAGGTGGCGCCGAGAGTGCGGCGTGATGTTCCAGGCAGGGTTTGCCATGTTTGTAGGTGTTTTCTTGCTAAGTGGCCATTTCTCATGCTCGTAGATGGCCAGGCATTGGAATTCCCGGTTCTGATATGAGCGGTGGATAGTTTTTTAGCACGATTCAGCTATTGACATGAGTTCTCCTTGCAGCAAAGCATGTAATTGTTCCTTCTCCGCCTCCCTTGCAGCCTTCTCCGCTGGTTCACCTCCAAACTTGTTTGTCGCTCACTGAGGTCTTTGCCATGCCTCTCTGGCAAGCAGATGAAACTGCACAGCTCCTCACAGCCTGTGCTGAAAGCGCCGGTGGAAAAGTCTTCATTGGCCAATGCAGGCCAGACAGGTCACTGGCTAAGCGGGCTAAGGCCCCACGGGTGAAAACGATCCTTTGCGACTTAGCGGGTCCATTTTTCGTGGTACAGTACGTCTCAGTCGTGGGACGATTTCGTCGCAGAAGAGGCGCTCAGACTTTTGGGTTAATGGCCACGACTGGCCAAGTGTTGAATCTGTTCATGATATTCTTTATTATAGGTCAACCGTTCAACCCCGGTCAATCCCCCATATATGAAGAGGTGTCCGCACATCCAAGTCGGGGGGTATTGAGAGTCTCCACTGACGTTCTTCTGCCAAAGAGAAGGATCCAATCGATCCAATCCACTTCAATTGGCCAAGTCCGAAGGTCGGGCTTTCCGGATTCCTCTTCGTCCAAAGACTTGGGGCTTCCGCAGATTCAGGGACCGCCAGATTCCGCGACCGAGTCGACTTGGGCAGCCCAGAGCGAAGCGGCAGACGCTGCAGGTCTCTTGCAGTTCATGCTGCCTGGCTTGGGCTTTCCTCCCCTGGCTGAAGAGGTGCCAGAACGCGAACGCGAACGCAAGCGCACGTGCGGGTGTTTGGTCGAGAACATGATGCGGTCGAAAGAAGCAGCGACAGGGAGTGACGTTCGCTCTCCCAGTTGAAGAGATATTATATGAAAGATCGAGTTCATGAAATTCATAAGTACAACTAAAGTGAAATGATCGTGTCATGTAAGATCATGTAAGCATAATTATGAGTTTCCAAGAGTGAGAGAAGCTCGGTGAAGCCGAGCTTCAAGGCTTCATAAGGCCTCAGACGGCTTTGCAGATCTTCCAAGGCCAGAGTTTTTGCCGGTCCATTTCTGGGGCTCAAAGAACCTCCAGAGAACGCCCTTGCGCATCACTTCCACCATCCTCGGCCCAACGTCTCAAAAAGATACGTCGAGAAAAAGGAGGTCATGGCGCCGATCGTGGAAGTCATGGAGGTCCCGCCCTTGATGTGCAACTGTACCATCCTGGGAGATTCGGACACCAAAGAAGCCATCGTCGTAGATCCCGGAGGCCGTTGGAGGAGTGAGCTGGGGAGAGTCTTTTTCGGAGGCAAACGTTGAATCCATCTGGGAATGAACGGACTGTTCCAGGGACTTTGGGGAAGGCAGGAAAGGTAATGGTACAGTCTTGCGTTTGGCTTTTCAGAGTTTCTGCCAATGAAAACGCTAGTCTCTTGAGGTCTGTTTAGATCTGTTTAAAGTCATTATCAGGAAGAGATGGTGCAAGCATATCAAGCATCTCCTGAGGCGATGTGGACAAGATTCTGGCCAAGCTGAAATCTCATGGCCTTTCTTGCAAGAGGATCCTAATTACGCACGGTCATCTGGACCATATCATTGGGGCAACGGAGTTGAAAAAGGCGACAGGTGCAATGATCCTGATGAATCAGAATGACTTGTCCTTGTACCAAAAGGTGAAGGAGCAGTGTAGAGACTTCCGGATTCCACCCCCGCCGGACGCCTTACTGCCTCCGGACGACTTCCTGTCGGATGGCGATGTGGTGCAGTGGGGTCCAGAGTTGACCGTGAAATGCTTGCACTGTCCCGGGCATACCCCCGGTTCCTTGTCCTATTACTTCGAGCAGCAGAAGATCGTGTGCCCCGGTGACACCTTGTTCCAGGGCTCTGTAGGCCGCACCAGCTGGGCTGGCATCCCGTCGCTGCAGGGCACCAGCGACGCTCAGATGATCATCGGAAGTATCAAGGCAAAGCTCCTGACGCTGGACGGTGATGTGCGAGTGATCTCGGGCCATGGGCCGGAGACGACCATTGGTCTGGAGAAGGCCACGAATATGTTTCTGAGGATGTAGAAGGATAAGAGTCCCAAGAGTAGTGGAAGCGAAGGGGTGAATGGACCCTCCCAAGAAAAAGACACATGGAACCTGGGAAGAAGGAAGAAAGACCGGTTTCGACATCTTTCGATCATTTTAGTCTTTAGAACCCCAGTTGCAGTGATTTTTGGGTTCCATGTGGTCCGACTTGGGGAGTAGGTGTAGGATGGTAGGGGGTTCCACCCTGTCGTCGCAGAAAGGCGAGCTTTCGCAGGGCATCACGGGTGATTCGCAAGGAATTGCAGGGCATTTCGATTTCAGCAGTTCTTGCATTCTTTTGCTGGGATTCTTGGGCCTCTTGATTCTTCAGAGATGTTGGATGATTCAGGCAGCCACGTATAGGTTTCCCAAAAGTGTTTTCCCTTTTTCCATTTTTAAATATTTTTTTCTATCTTGAAGCTTTTCTTTCGTTTTCTTGGCCCTGGCGCAACACCATCTGCGGCGCCGTCTGCGACGCAACCATTTTCGCGTTTCAGCTGAAAGGTGGCCTTCGAGGAGCTTTTTCAGATGTCGTGTATGAACGATCCAGAGGCAAAGGAGAGCACCAGAGAGCTTGGGTTCGAGCTTGGGTTTGGGGTGTTTTTGGGGGGGCACACACCGTTCCGTTTTCGTTTTGCACCGTTCAATTGAATCCCAGGTGGGGAGACGTGGACGAAGGGTCAAGCATGGTCAAGCCGTGAAAGGTGTCGACTTCAGTTGGGTCAGAGTTGCATGGGCGTTCCTGCCCTAACCAATGGGGCGTCCCGAGTCTACAAATGTCCAGACTTGTTTTTTCTCAAGTTTCTCCAAACTCCAAATATCAACTATATATGATATAGTATATATGTGACAATCAAGTCCAAATATCAACAATATGTCAATATATGTTTGACAATCAAGGACATTTGTAGAAAACAAGTCTGACCATAATGTCAATATGTCATATGTCATCATATGTCCAGTATACGACCCTTTGAGAACCCGATACGGCTGACGCAGGTGGAGCTGGATTCACAGCTTCCATGGGGAGAGTTCTGAGCGTCGGCCAGCAACGAGCGACTTAGAGGTTTGTAGTGAGTCAAGATCAAACATGTCATGCGTTGTGAAAAAGGAGTGGAGACTAGAGCCACTGCAAGACCATATAATTTTCCACCATGAATCATGTGCGTCGACGTCGTCATTTCAACGTTTCACGCATTTGCCACCTGCCGAGGCAGGTTTCACGCTCAAAACGAGCAGTGCCAAAGCTCGATTCAGGACGAAAGGATCCGTTTTGCCATGCCAAAAGCTGATAAGACTAGATGGGATGATTTGCCAGGATTGTCTCGGAAGTGTTTGTCGGTCGATCTATTTACACAATGACTTTGCAAAAAGAAAACCCATTCACTTAACCCGGGAGAGGTGTGACCCTCGCAGTTCGATCCGATCGAGAGTTCGGCCAATGGTTCGGCCTGTCAAACCGGAATCCGACCTACCCAGACGCTCCGTTCACAGGCCTTGGTCCCTCAAGAGCGGGGTTGGTGGGTTGGTCCGGCCCCTACTGAAGGGTCCAGGGTCGCGTCTGGGTACCTCTTGTTCGGAGTTTGGCCGGAGTGGGCCAGTTTCAGACTCCGCCTTCCGTCTGCAGAAGCGCAGTTCGCACCGGTTCGAGCTGATGTTCTCGATGTTCGAGCGCTGAAGCCGGCCATTACTCGATGTCCGACCTCTTCGGCTCAAAGCCCCAACATATCCATCCCATCGACCCGTCAGAGCCGGTCGGAGCCCGAGCGACGAGTCACGCCAACGACAGCGAGCGTCTTCGACATGCGACGACGCGTCGCTCAGCTCCGATGAACATGATCCAGATGCATGGCGGTTCCGCGCGCGGGGAGCGGTTAGGGGGCGTCTTCGACTCCGAGACTTTGGTTGCGGCGATGGAGAGACATTGGGTCATCCACAGTGATCGGTCACCGGGTCCATTCGTTTCGCCGCTTTTTTTGGGGAAGCGAAAACGGATCGAAACAGCCCGAAACAGATGGAACACGATGGAACACGATCACCTGGAAGTGGAGTTCATGAGTTCACCCCCCTGTTTGTGGAGGATGAAAGACCCCATGGGGTGCATCTACTTCTGTGATGTGTTCCGAGTGTGGGAGGATCTCGGGGCCTGCGTAGTGAGTGCCTGCACCGTCTCGGCGAAGGTCACCAGTCCGATTCCGACGTGTCCTCATGCAGGCAGGATGGCAGGATGGCAGGATGGCAGTGCCAAAAAAGAGAAGGGCACCGTAGTACCCAGGGTGGCCCAGAGCAGCCAGATGTTGCAGAAACTCAGCTAGAGTAGTATATGGAAGTCTATAGTGCACCTCGGACGTTCATGAACAGCAGAGGTGTTTTTGTTGGGTTGATTTGTAGGACCTATAGGCAGTATACGGAGTATACTAAGAGGAAGTCCTAGGTCCTACAGGTATATGGTATACATATGGTATACATGTATTATGCAATAGGACTGTAGGAGTTCTTCATGTCCCCTGCAGGGCCGGCAGCGGTCGGACCGGCGGTCACCCCAGTCCGGTGGGCCCAGACGACCGACCGACGCGGGCGCTCTGGCTCTCCGGTCCGGCGTGGTGTCCGGTGGGGGTTCGGCAGAAGAAAGCATCAAGATGTGGGTCAAAAGCCGGATCCGAAAGTTGTTTAAGATATAGTCATGAGTCATTTATATGTTCTACATATGATACTGTTCTACCTCGGTCAAGCCGGGTTTGACGAGTTTGACGAGTTTGTGCAAGAGACGAACCGAAGGCTTCTTTGATCTGGCGGAGGGGTAGATCAACAAAGGAAAAGAGCTGTGTACACCTGTCGACGAGTGTTGCTTTGGTTTGCTTCCGGGAAGGCGTCATGCACTCCATTCCTTCACACTCGCCATCACCCATCCCACGCCCACCTTGTTTGCGAAGAGTAGAGGAAAGCCGCCCTGCCACGAATCGTGGTCCTTTGTCCTCTTGGTTGCAGGCCATTGCTATTAGATGCTATTAGGTTGGAGGCCGCTATTGGGTTGGAGGCCATCGCTAGTAAGTTGGAAGCCATTGCTATTAGGTTCCTCTGCTTGTGTTTGGCTTAGTGATTTCCTGGAGCCTCCTAGACCTTAGTGATTTCCAACGCACCCATGGTGTGACACTCGAGTGGCACATGAACAAATGACACCATTCTTTAAACTTATAACATATTAAAAGCCTCAAAATAGATTTCAATGCACCTCGGGTGAAGGCTCCTCACTCTTCCACTCCAATGCATTCAGGCCAGTTCCCACTCTTCCACTCCATGAAATTCACCCTCCAAACGACGGGGGTTCCGAGGTGTCCTGCAGATTTGCTCCCTTTTTCTTCAGCCGATTCTGGGGAATCCCGAGTCCAAGGCAGCCATCCAGGGCGCCCGAAGCAGCGGAGGCGAAGAGATTCACCGTGACAACGTCAGTCGTGTTTTGACAGGTCGCCGGGTCAAACAGTGACACATCGCCATTATCCACAGTCGTACAAGAAAACGGTTTGACATGATTTTGTGGTATATATCATACAGCATATCATGGCAACTACCAGCACCCTCCAACAGGTCACCACCTGCGACTTTTAGGTCAGCAAAAGCCTCCAGAGGAGACCTATTGGAGGGTGTTGGTATATAACATATTTCTTATTCTATCCCAGACGCTGCAATCAGGCCTTGGTCCCTCAAAACAATAAACATTTGAGGGTGGACCCCTCCATATGAGGGTACGGCCCCTACTGAACGCAGGGTCCAGCGTCGCGTCTGAGATATATTAAATGTGTAGTTTCATCATGTTTCATCCACCCATTTTCGTGGTTTCTTCGGGGATTGGACCTAGCTCGACGAGAGTTTCTGTTGGAGAATGGATGTACAAAAGCTTTGCAGTTGTTATTGGAACGAGGTCGTAATTCTGTGTGGAACCCAGAACGTTTTCCACACGATGGCCTCAAGAAAATGCCTCACTTGGTCACCTTGGTCCGACCTTGTCCTTGTTGGGGGGAAGATCAATGGACAACACGTGGGAGAGGCGGTTTCTGGTTGCCATCATCTCAGGTTTTATCATCCACTCGACTCGAGTTAAGTCGTGGCAGGCGGCTCCGCACGAGCGCGCGGCGCCCGTGGGCGCGGCGCCGGCCGGCGCGACCTCGGCTCAGGTGGGGAGGGCATTGGAACCTGAATGAACCTGACGGGAGAAATGGAGAGACAGCGAGTGAGACGACCCGGGTGTTGGAGCATGTTTGACATGATCCAAAGGGAAGAACATCCAGAATTGAGAGGTTTTCTGGATGGATAGGCTTGTTTTAGAAAGCAAAAGGGTGGAAGAAGTACAGCTTTGGGATGGGACACTGCCTCGAACCATTGGAATTTCATTGGCATCCGACGAAGCGAGGCGACGCCACCACCGCAGCTTGGCATGTTTCAACGCATGGGCCGCCATTTCTTTGAGGTTTTTTCGCTTGGCCCAGCAGTTTTCGGGCTTCGAAGGGCTTCGAAGGGCTTCGAAGGGCTTCGGCGCGGGGTTGGAAAAGCTGTGGAGGGAAACTGAGCACTGTCGATGGTTGCTCAGGTATATGCCGCAGACTCCTTCCAGCTCAGATCTCAAAGATTCTCCAAGTCTTGCAGTCGCGTGACAGATCACGTGGATACCCATAGCATCGTGTTTCGGCACCAAGACTCTCCGGACATGGATTCGTTCAGCCACGATCGTCAGTACTATCGGTCATTCATATCGTCTTTTGGAGAACAGAACGCTTGGTGAGTTCGGTGGTCGGTTCGGCCTCACCATTCGAAGTGCCGTTCGGTCCTCAATGGGTTTTTAACCGTGGCAACAAAGGCTCTGAGTTGCTGGATGTCGACGTCACGGTCTTGGCCTTTGCACAATGGGCGTGTCACCTCAGCTTGAACGCGCGCAGTTCGCGCTGCGAGGTGGTCGATGGGCCAGGATGGGTGGTAGAGATGGGCCGCGCGGATGGGGAAGTCTGTCGCGGACGGTCGCGGATGGCGAGGTTCGCTGCGATCCTTTGCACCCTTCCCGCGCCTCCGTGCGCCCGTTTTCCCGGGCGTTTGGTGGCACACTGTGCTGAGGTCATGGAACTGAAGCACAAGAGCTCCAACTCACAACGGTCGCTTCAGGCAGACCTTGGCAGCGCGACTCCATGTTGAGGTAGGTCCACGTTAAGCGCTTGGTATCGCCATGACGCCGCCGGAACTGTGGCGGCAAAACCTGGGTCGAAAGGAAAAACGATCGCAGGTTGAAACACCGAACATGGGGTGAAAGAACGCATCACCGGATGTTGGTCCACTATATAGGTACTGGATGGTACTGGCAAGCATCAGTGAACCCTCCACACAATGGCGAACATATGCGAACATCGTCCGGATTTTCCGTGTGAAAGAGCATGCTCGCCAGACGGAACTGAATACCATCAAGACGGCCATCAATGGTAATCACACCGATCTGGCAGAATTCAAACGACAAGGAGCAGTTCGGAGCCTCAGGTGCTCAGTAAGAGCTCAGTTCATAGAGGCGCTGCTGCAGGTAATTATGGTCTAGACTCCGTTCAGGTGTTTTCTTTATCCCGGTCACCTTTTGGCTTATAGAAAGACCCCCCTGGTGAAAGGTAAGTGGGATTGTTCTTTAATATGTTTCCCCGTATTTTTCTTGTCTTCATTTCCAAATCCCACCAAAGCCGTTGCTTTTTTGAGACACCGAATGACACATGTGGAGAGTCTTCGCCGTTCACATCACCGAGCCGTTCACATCGAACTGAGTCCATCCAGCAACGCATGCAATGTGAGATCAACGAGCCCTGAGCTCAGCGGCGGTGTTGCGTCGCGGCATGCCGCTGGCAGGCCGGGTTTCGGCAGCTTGTAGCGGCCGAAACCCGTGCGAAAGTGACGTGCTGAGGATTCGAGAGTCGTTGAGCTCCGTCTTCATGGAAATCACCGCTGCAGTGCGAAATAATGCTGCTGCAGACCAGGAGACTGATCCATGTTTTGATTGGACCAGGAGACAGACCAGTTCTATATTTCTTTTTGCTGCACCAACCAAAGCACTTCATGAGAGCTCCGAAAGACATTGAATTGCTCAGCCTAGGACATTTTACTTCTTTCCTTGCATCACCAATAGTCACGCATGTTCAACCTGGCCTGTGTTGAGTCTATAGACGATTTAGGGCCTTTCTAAACACGTTGAAAACATAGATGGTAGGGCACCAGCCCCCTAGTTAAAGCTGTTAGTGTTTGCCCAGCAATTCGGGATCTGTGATCACCATCCCGATGTTTCGAAGAAGTTTCACGATGTTTCACGCCATGCCGGGCGCACAACGGTGCCACAGAAGCGAACCTTTCGATTGGAATCTGCAGGATTTGAAGATGAAGATTCAGACGCTCAATGAGCAGGCTTGCATCGTCTCATGAGCGTTCTCCGTCGAACCCACGGCCGTCGATGCGGCTCTCGCGGAGAGATGGCGGCTCTAGCGAGGCTCGCCGGAGCCGGAGCGGGAACACACACGATGCAGGCCGTCCGGAATGAGACGGCCTTTGCACAATTGGCGGATGTGCTGACCCCAGTGCGAATGGATAGATATTTGGGAGTATTTGGGGGTACGAAGATGTACGAAGGATGGCTACGACTTGATTTAAACTACACAGACATGACATGAATGATATGAATGGTAGAACCGCTTCAGTGCTGAGGGGGTTGACATGTAGTCGGGTGGCCCCAAGCAATGCCGACTCTGAGGCAGCGGATCAGTCACAGTCAAAGCTACGTGCTGCCGCTCAGGCTGCCGGTCACAGTCATCACATTCTCCTTTCACGAAGACACACGGAGAGAATGCTCAACTCAACTAGGATGATAGTCCTCGCTGCCGCCAAAAATTACATGCAGTCAGCGGCGCCTTGTTCTTAAAACAACGATTTTTATAAGTGAAGTGTATGCAAGCATGCTACAAACTTCAAACCTGGGTTCTACAGTTTAAAGTTGGACATACACGAAATATGTGGATATGTTTAATCACTCACATTTTTAGGATCAGTGTTTTTCCAGTCGACCGTAAAACCCATTGATTTTAGTTTCGATGAGCTGTCAATATAAGGGATTATGATCCCTTTCAAAGAGCAAGAGAAGCAAGGACATATAAAATTATGACAGAAATACAATTAGAACGGACTGAGATGCAACCTTGTGAAGCTTGTGCGCTACCTTGTGGTGTTTGGAGGTTGGCAAATTGCAGATGTTACTTTTACTATACTTTACCTATAATTGCTGCATAGCACCAAGCCACCAGCCAGAAAGTTTTAGAAGGACAGGTACAGGTCTCATTCTTGGTTTTGGTTGGGGTTGTTTTTCCTTGACTCCATTCCCGTGTAAACCTTCAAACCGTGGTGAAGACGAGGACTAAGACCCAACGTTGGAACCCCCTCGAGTCGTCCCGACTACCTTGGGGGTTCGGTGGTCGGTGTCCGGTCTCGGTGTCCCTGGGGAGGTTTCGGGAGGAATGGGCGGTATGCGCAACATGGCGAACGTTGTTGGCCAAGGTCAACAGCAGACCTTGTATACAATGAACAACCAAGAGTTCTTTTTCAGATGTTAATTTTAGCCGATGTCTTTATTGTCCACATCTTCAGAAAGGCTAAGTCGTACCATGTACGCCTGATTCGCAGGCATCCTGGTGGGAGCGTAATGGCCGCGGCGTGTGCCGTTTCAACGCCTCACGTGGCCCTTGCTGGTTCTCTCCGGCGCCAGGAGATGCAGCACTCCTCCGAGCGCATGCGGGAGGATATGGCATCGCTCAACCAGCAGACCGACTTCTTGCAAACTCAGGTGCCACGAGCCGTAGCCAGCTCGCGCCTTGAGCGAGCGCCTTCCGCGGCGCTTTCGCCTTGCCGCCGCGGTGGCCGGTGGCGAGTTCGGTGGAAGGAAGGCCCACGAGGTTGGCACTTTCTGGGTTGAGAGGTGTTTGGTTTGTGCCAGCGTCCCGACGGGCCGATGGACGGGTGGTGAGCGAGTGAGACGCTCCGACTTGGAGCGTCGTGTCCGTTCCGCTGGACGCCCGTTGCGACGTGTCCGTTCCGCTGGGCAGGTTACAGATCGCTCGGACCAACTGCGTATGGAGTCTGAGCAGCTGGCTCAGGTCGGCGGGCTGGTGGCTCCAAGAAGCAGTCGCGGAAGTCTGACATGGAAGTCAGGATGTTATAGCCCCATCGACATCGATGACATTATTGATGTTAAATGATGTTAATTATGACATCCAATCACAGAATGGCAAAGTAAGCTATAACCATTTCAAGAATCGAACCCGTTTCGTTTGGTCCAGTCCGACGAAAGCCGCCGTTTCAGTCACTTCCTTCGTTTCAGAACCGTGTCACGGAGTCTTCATTTTGGCAGGACCTGCATACGCAGCTGGAAAAAAGAAAGGCCTGGAGTCCTGGATGAAACGATTCGATGGAGCGGCAGTCCTGGAGCGGCAGATGTCACGATTCATCTTTCGAAAGGGGAAGAATTGATGAAAGAGTTCTTCTTTCGAGGCCTTTTTTTTATCGCCCGATACCGTCAACTCTCAGATTTCCAGATCAAAGATATAGACAGACGAATGACACGACTGAGAAGCACGGTGCTTCTCCGAAATGTCACACCTCGAAGCTATTCAGCTCAGGTCAGGCAGGTCACTCTGGGTGTTGAGATTCCGACCTTCACCTCAACCTGCCTTGCCGGACGTCGGACGACGTCACGACGACGGACGACGACCAGAGGTGCAGCTGCAAAAGATGGTGCAAGACGTGGTGAACATCGGTGAATCCCTCCAAGGCGGGGGGGGGGGGGGGGGGGGAAAGCACGGGGTGCTGCAAAACATCCCGTGGGTGGGAACGACTTCTCATCGTGTCGTTTTCCTTGTTTTTTTTGTGTGTGTGGAACATCTATGTGGGACTGGGACGGGGCATGTGTTTGGTATTTTCTTGTGGGGAGCTATCTTCGGGAAGGGTCGAAGATAGGCTCAGACGAGTGCTAAGACGCTCGGACATGTTAGAGGGATAGAGGATGATGGATGAGAGGCTTTTGGAACCAGAATTGGCTTGTTTGGGTGTACCCCCAGATGTTTTTAGACTGCTGCCCAAGTGACCCATCCTATTGACCCCATCTATTGCCCCATGTTGGCCAATTCAGTGGGGTGTTTGCCCATTAACACTGCTGGGTGCTTTGAGCCGAGCGTTGGAAACCGCGGCGTCGTTTGGTGCGTTTCGTCGCCCACTGCACCCAGCAGGTCAAGGCGCCTCGCGTGCGAAGCGGCTGAGGTTTGGTGAATGACTTTGGCCACCTGCGAAAAGAGTCAGGTACCAACCAAAGCAAGTCTGATTCTCAGAGATTGGTGGGATGGCCATATGGGATACTGCAGATACCTATGAATCCTCTGAAAATAGATTTGCTGCGTATCGTTTCCCTTGGTGTCCTGGTCCCTTGATGTCCTGGTCGGCCCCCTTGGTCCCCTTTGGTCGCCTCATGTTCTCCCTGTGGCCATTTCGTGGTACGTAAGGTCCCTTGAGACCATGTGGAGCGGAAGGGAGCAACACACTGATGTGGTGCAAGTGGAGTCTTGTGGGCCATCCGGGTAGAATAGAAGCAAACAAAAGGAAGTCACTACTCCAACTTGCAGCAAACCTTTTGTATATATTTTGTGGAACATGTCAAGATTTAGAACAGGAAGCACACTCTTTGTAGGCCACCTGAGGGTAACATTTTAGAGCAATTAGGTGCATCGCAGCATTTGTATGCATTTGTGGGCCACCAGAGGACTAACATTTGGGCCGAGAGCAGGGAGGGCGTGCCTCACCTTCCCCTTTTGATCCTTGGCCTTCAATATCCATTCAAATTGAACCGCCGCTGGCGTGTTCCGCCGGCTTTCCAGGTGGCCATGTACTTTGTGCCTTTGGGTTGCATGCAACGTGGTTGGTCATGTATTGCAGTGTGACTCTTCACGGTTTCATGGCCTGGGCTCACAGGAAAGTTGGAAAGGCCATGAGTCGAGCTAAAGGCAGATGAAACACACTGTTGTTAGTAATGTGCCGCAGTGTGGTGCTGCCTTGTCTGATTTCTAGGGCTCGCAGGAAATGTAGCAAGGCCATAAGGTAAACAAAAGCAGACACGCAGATGAAAGACACATGTTTGTAGCAACTTGAGCACGGGTTTGGAAAGAAGGGGTAGAAAGTGCCTGCAGTGGAACACAGGGTAGTTGTTTATCTATAGAAGAGTTTGGCATCTTAGCGGACAGGTTGGAGGCATGGCAGGAGGAGGGTGCTCCGTGCTGCAGCCTTGATCTATCTTTGGGGCGTACGCTTCGAGGATGCAGGGTGAATGCGGGAGTGCCGTAGAGGATGATGTGTGTGCTGTCTTGGCATAGTAGAGGAAAGACTTACAACACAACAGCAACAGGAACATCCACAGAACACGCCGGCTAAGCCGGCGGATTCCGTGGAAACCTGCGCCCAAGTCCTTAAACCACAAAGAACGCGCCAGAGCCTGAAACGCCAGAGCCGTGCCAAAGCCATCGGCCCAATGCAACAGCGGCGGCTGTTCGACCCCTTGAGGCTCCAAAAAGATCTTTTCAGCCAGTCAGTGACCGGAAAGGTGACAGGCGCGAGATGCGGATCGAGATGTGATGTGGAGCGAGGTTGGATCAGATGTTTCATGATGTTTCATAGCAGGATGGCGGGGCTTCAACACACCAACATGGGCTCTTTCATGTTGTTTCATGTTCTGTCCTATTTGTTGAAGGAATCGAGAGATCCATTTTGTGCAAGGAGGGCACTTCAAAAAGAAGAGCCGACTGAAGCGGTATGATGAGACCAGATCTACGGATGCACGATGTGTTTTTCAATTTGGCTCAATCAATTCTAGGCTTTGACCCCTCACAACTCAGATTTTTCGGAACTACATCGTCCAGCTTCTTCAGTTTCTAGCTGTTCTTCAAAGGTGTGGTGTCCCTGTTTGTGACCTCAGGACCTCACACCAGGCCTGTTTGTGGCATTTGGTGAACCATGCAGGGGATCAAGTCTGGTCACTGGAAAGAATCCGGTGTTTTTGTTTTAAACCATGTGTTTCGTATGTTTTCTATTAGGTTGGTTTGAGGGGTCAATAGGCATATGTGGCATACATGGAGTGTGTTTTTCTATTAGCTTAGAGGCCATTGCTTCTAGTCAATATATTACCATCGCCTCAGCTTGCCTCGCCTCGACCTGACTTCTGAGTCCGGGGGTCTTGGGGGGACCTACCGAATTCCACTGCGAAGAGAGCGTTTGTTGTTTTGGCAGTTGGAACATTCAAGTACGTTCTAAACCAGGTTCTTCGCATGTCACTGTCACTCTGAGTCTGTTAATATGAGTCATATTATTTCAGTCAATATGTTATATGTGAGTTGCAGTGATCAGACAAAGGGAGCTGGCCGCACAGCTTCGATCAGGCCTACCGGGAAGCACTCAGGACATGCGTTTGGATCTTGGGCTGATCGCATGAGGCGTGAGAAGACGCAGACCCGTGACATGTTCTTTCCCTGCACAGAACAATTCTCATGCTGTTGATGGCCAGGCATTGAGTGAATTCCCAGTTGTTCTCCTTGCAGCTAGACATGTATTCCTTCTCCGCCTCCCGTGCAGCCTTCTCCGCTGGTTCACCTCCAAAAATTTGTCGCTTACCAAGGTCTTTACCATACCTCTTTGGCAAGCAGATGGAACTACACAGCTCCTCACACCGTCGTTGGCCAGTAATGATCGGCCGGTAAAAGTCAATGGAGCACGGCAAAAAGAGGAGAATTTCAGGTGGATTATTCAGACTCCTGCCAGGTTTCCTTGTTGAGCGGGATTGCATCGATTTTTAAGCAGAACTGATATGGAGATATATGAAGGAAGAGGTGTTAATCCAAATGCGGTGGGTTTCCCATGGTTTCCCACGGTTTCGTCCAGTTCGGCGGTAAAGGAAGTTCCTAAACAGTCTTGGAATCATTTCAGAAGGGCTTCAAACGAACTCTTCAACCATTTTGTTGTGCCAACGATACGGTGCGTGCCGTTCGGCCGTTCGGCCTCGTCTTAGACGACGAAGGGCGGACATGTCCGGGTCTTTTGGGTCGAAAGGGGTCATTTACACATTGCAGGTGTTCTCCACCAACGGACAGCCGGCAGTGACACTGGACTTCTCAGAGCCGACGGATCTGTTCGTTTGCTTTTTTTTCAAGAGAACGCCACAAAGACGCCACAAGGGGGTCGCTGGCAGCCCAGCTTTCGCTCGCACACGCAGTGGTCGTGCTCCCTTGGCCCGAACTTTTAACGAACAATTCAGGCAGGTGTATATAGCTGACGCACAGGTGTTGTGCTAACATGCACCAAACAAGACTTGGTTATGCCGAGTGGCTGAGTTTCTGATGTTGGGGCCTTAATGGAGTTCTGCCGCGTAGAATCAATGGTCAAGGCCGGTCAAGGCCGGTCATGTCTTCATGTGCAAAGAGGCTTTCTCATGTTTTCTTCACTTTGTGCAACGGCCTTGTGAGATGGACTTTGTCATCAAACAGATAATGCTACTAGAACCATTTGGCTCCACATGTTCAGCCTCCAGTATTGAATTAGAATGCGATGCTGCGTGCCTCGCTTCTGCATTGAGGCTCCGTGTCCTTCCACATCTCAATCTCAACAACCTTTCGCAGATGTCCCTGTTGTGTTCCATGTTTTCTGGCGACCAGAGCCTCATCCCGAAGCCGACCACGAGCAGCAAAGGTCAATGAGGAGGAAAAGCAGCGGCAGACGAATCTTGCCAGCGCCAGCTTGGGATCATAACCCTATTGATCTCCAGACGAGCTGTTTGCACACCCTGTGGGGATCTTTGGGGTGATTATGAACTTGCGAAGCGGGTGGTGTTTGGGAAGGCTGCGACTTGGCATGAAGGCATTAGAACTTTGAATGGTAGGCCTGCAAGTGTGCCAAGCTTTCAATGTCCTAACAAGCTGCACAAGTAGCTGCTCCGTTATGTTTCATGGTGGCATCATGCGGCATCCAGTACTATGTTGCAAGTGCAAAGAGGAAACTGGAGTTGCATCAACTCACAATTTCACCAGTCAAGCTTTGCGCATCTGTACGCCATGTTTCGTTTGCATCCAATTGCAAGAATCTTAAATACGGTAGGTGTTCATAACATGTTTATACATGTTTCTTCATCGGTTTTGAATCTACCAAATGTGGATCCATGGATGCTCCAACTCTCCCCACCGCTTTGGGGGCTCCCCTTGTTTGAAACCCAGTCTTCACGGGGACGAGGCTCTCGCCGTTCTCGGGCACGTGGGGTCCGTCGCCGTTCAGTCACAGCAGTCGAGTCAGCCAGAATCATTGGAAGAGCAGATTTTTCTTGACGGATTCACTGCTGGTTTAGTCCGATCAATGCGATAGATCATTGAACTTTGAACCATCACGCGACAAAGCACCATGTGCTCACATGTGTTTTGAGGGCCGAGAGGCAAAGGACACTTGCAACCGTTTGCAACCACCAAACTGCAGATGCCGACCGTTCCGTGAACAGTGATTCAAGCAGACCATACCAGACCTTGGAGTATTCTGTATGAGTCGTGGTCTTAAAACCCCAAGCGGATCCTAAGAGCGATGGCCTCCAACCTAAGAGCATTGGCCTCCAACCTAAGAACAATGGCCTCCAACCTAAAATGGTCTTAAAAAAATAGAAAATGTATATATAAATATACCAACACCCTCCAACAGGTCTCCTCTGGAGGCTTTTGCTGACCTAAAAGTCGCAGGTGGTGACCTGTTGGAGGGTGCTGGTATATATAATAAGATATATATATATATATCATATCTAAATACATCTATTAATGGCCTTCTTGAGTGAACATCCAGAAGTGGCCGTTGTGATCCATCCTCATCCACAGAGAGATCTTTTGCTCCAACGGACTCATGGTGGAAGTGGCGCCCACCCGCCTTCCAGCGCGGCCGCGCACCAGGCGCCCGGCAGCGGCGCGGACGTCGGTGGATCGAAACCGACCGTGGACACGAGGCCTGCAGCGGCCAAGGCGAAAACGACTCGGCCCAAAAAGAAGGCGCGGTGGGAAGGAATCTGGTGAAAACTGATGAGATGCCAAGCTTGACTCATGTTACTCCAACGCATCATGGTAGTGGTGGATTATGACTTGGTGGGGGTAAAGTGAGTCAAAACGGAAGTTCCGGGGATGGAACTGGTCAACTCGATCGAATCGACCGAGGTGTTGCTGTTCCACGATCGATGCGTAGATTTGTTTCCACATGGCATCTAGTCTTGGGAAACACCACCCCCAAGGCTTGTCTGGAAACCACGTGGACCATAGGAACTTGTAGACCATGAACGCAAACGGCCGCAAACGGCCGGAGTTGGTACCAGTGCCGAGTTCAGTCTGCAAGGGCAGCGGCGACCGCCCAGGCCCAGGGCTCGCTGGGTGCCATCAGTGAAGCAGCGGCTTGGGCGATGTGGAGATCGATGGCGTGGGGGGGAAGAGCGGTGGGATGCGGTTTGGATGGAGCAAAGATGTGCACAGTATATAGTCATGTACCATGGTTTTTACTAGGATGTTTACACTACACTGTCACTACACCACCAGGTCAACCATTGTTTGAATGGTCTTCGAAGGCTAGGGTAAGGTCGTGTAAAGTCTAAATGACCATGCTGCAGGACCTTCAAAGTGACGGAGGAACCGAGATCGGATGACGAAGGTTAACAGAGACCCCAAAGGTCACCAACAGAGACGGTCGATGGTCCTGGTTGGGTGTGAGAAGCGATCGGCACGCGACATCATTGGGTGGGAGAAGGAGCTCGGACGCCTGCATGACCTTATACCGACTCAACATGGAAGTGAGACCCTTGGAAGACCACACTTTCCCTTTTACAGACAGGTGGTTTTCTCCACTCCCATGTGGCACGTGAGTCGGAGGGTGAGTGAGTGATTGGCCAACTCAAAGCCGGCCCGCCTCTCCATGAAGGCAGGTCCCCCTCTCCAACTGCTGCCAGTTCCTGGGTGGGTTCGTCAACTTGGTGGGCCTAAACAGGGTCATTCACCGGATGTCACTGGTAAATTCCTGTGTCACCTACTCTGAGGAGTACAAATAACCGTCTATATCCATTCCCACCATCACAAGGTCGACACGGACGACTCCCTACTCCCCCACACGGCTTACGCCTTACTCCGTGCGCCTTAGGCCGAGTGGGCCGAGCAGTCCACGCTCGACACGTCCGGTGAGCCGTCCACGCTCACTGCGGAGGTGGACGCACTCTGGGCCGAGGTGCGAAAAGAAACACTGAACCAGAAGAGAACACCTCCACAACTGTCCACAACTGTTGTCCGGGCACTTCAGATCCACAAGTTTTTTTAATAGTCAAGTGACTTGCCAAGACCATGCAACGTCCAATGAATAGCGAGGCTGGCTTGGCCCCTCCGGAAGCCACTTCCCATTCTGCGCGAGAAGGACGGCGTCGGGTTGGGAGGGCGTCCTGGGAGGACCGAGCCATGAGGTGTTCTGGTCTTCGGCTCCTAGGCCCAGCTAGGAGGATGGAACTGGTTGTCCAGCCTGTTTTCGCAAGAGTTGTGGAAGTGGGGGTGGTGCTAAGGCGGTGCCAAGGTGATGGTGACGGTTTTTCAGACCTCGACCCAGCTAAGCTTTGGAAAGCTGAAACATGCTAAGCTTTAAAACTGTTAAAGCACAGGTACCCCAACCGCTGCCTCTGCCGCTGCAGCAGCGGTCGCAGCAGCTTGTGCCGCCCGGAAGGCGGCGCCTCGTTTGCGTTCGAAGTGGCTTTTGATGCCGATTTGGTGCGTGTGCCATTGTGTTTGGTTTCAATCCGGGCCGTGAAAATTGTATTTCTGTCAGAGCCTCTAAACGTCAGCAGTCACTTCTTGACAGGTACGATGCTCAAATTGTTGGAATGAGGGCAGAGCCATCTTCAAGTCTTTTTTCAAAAGAGATTGTAGACAGACCCTATAAGGATTGTGATTAAAACTACAACATGTCTCAGGATACTCTTGACCTCTTACCACCGGCACGTGCCCCTTGCCACTGGTGGATGCGTGCTTCCCATCGTGGAACCACTCAAATCGTCGACCATCTTAGCGACGATCTGTCAGGGTGGGCTTGGTGTAGCGGCTAGCCAGAAAGGCCTGATCGCGGGTTTTTCTTTTGGAAGATGGGTGGGAGGATGGGCGCAGCGTTTTTCTGCAATGAATTCTTCAGAAGAATAGGGTGATACACGTTGTTTGCCGCAATTGTGGCTTAATAGCTGGGTTGCGCATGGCTGCTGAAGGTCGGGCTGTTTGCAATAAGTGCAGACAGGGACCTTCGATCTCGGGCGATTCGTGGTGCACGGCTTGCGCGGCGCAGGAGAATATTTTGATTGAGTTGAAGGGGAGGTGGAACTGCGCGGAACTCCGCAGGGCTGCTGCGGAAGTCCTTGTGGACGCCGCGCGGCAGGTGAAAGTTCTGCGCACCCTCTCCCTGAGGCTTGCGCCGGTGGTTGCAGGAGGTGAGGGTGAGCTTGGCAGGGATCGGCCATCTTTGTGCCTTGTACCAAAGTCACAGCCACAACCTCCAGGTCGAGAACCACCCGTACGTGCACCACCAGTTCCTCAACCTCCCGCTCCTCGAAGAGAAGAGAGTACACCCCCGGTCGCAGAACCGGATCCTGAAGAAAGCTACACCTACGAGTATAGCGAGGGTTCAGGGAGTGTGCATTCAGAGCGTGAGGAGGTGCCTACACCTTCGAAGAGGGTTGCAGCCCCACCTCCACCAGTGCCTCCACCAGTGCCTGAGGTGAAGGAGGAGTTGAGTGTTGAGAGGAAGGAAAAAGCCAGAGGTTCGAAAGGAGAGCCAGCAAGGAGTTCAAAGCAGAAGACTCGGAGGAGCGAGAGAGGAGAGAAGGATAGGCATAGAGGCAGGCGAGGTGGTCGCAAACATCAGCAATCACATCGGAGGAGACACGACCCATCGATCCGAATCCACAAGCGTCGAGGAGTGTCTGAGCTCAAACGCCTCAGAGAAGACTTTCCGGATCTTCCTCGTCCACCACCATGTCCACGCTAAAGGATATTTTTCCTAACTGGAAGGAGGGTGAGGAATTTCACATTGAGGATACAGAAAGATGGACGTTGCTCAATTTTGCCAAAGGAGATTTCGTGGAACTGTGTTTGAAGGACACGGACTGGGAGCCTGTGTCGGAAGCGTTGGCAGGCTTTGTCGTGATGAGCCGAAGCGTTACCAGAGAAGGGGGCATCGCCCTTCTTGCTCACTTCGTGGGGACCACAGATCATACCATCAGTCGGTCACTTTCAGCACAGTTCAATCGGAGAGAAGGACATTTGCATTTGTGCATAAGTCGCCCTTGCACGGAAGCCGAAGAAGGGTTTCTGCATGTCGTTCGGCTGAAGGTCTACACCCGAGGCAATTTCAACGCATCCTACTACACTGCCGCCCACCGTCGGCAGGTTGGCAAGTGGCTAGATGGACCAGCAGCTGGTGGCCTTGCCGAGGAGGAGAGAGAAGAGGGTCCTTCCGGGCCTTCGGAGTCGAGGAAAAGCTCTGGAGGCGTCTTCAACGTGTCTGTTTGGAGAAGAGGTGAGCCAGGGGAGAGAAGACCCCCCTCCAGCTACAGAGAAGGCAGACGTTGGGGGGAAGCGTGCCAAGACCTCCCAGAGCGCGCTGCGCCCTGGGGCGCTGCGCTCGGGGGTCGCCTGCTGCCAGGAGACGAGGAAAGGGCGTGTCGTTTCAAGAGGGAGGAGAGGCAGGTCAAGAAGTTGTAGGTCCTGCCCGGGCGCCACCTTCAGGTTCTGGCGCTGGGAGGAGAGAGCTTGCAGAGGATTTGCAACTTGGGACTTCCGCCGATCGAGAATCGATGTCGACCGAGGAGTTGAGACGCCGTTTAGATCAGGTGAGAGAGAAGCTTGGAGGAGCAGCGCGACCGTCGATCGCAGATTTGAGGAGCCGAGAAGAGGAGGAAGAGCACGAGGATCCCGCGCAGGGAGTTGCTGCAGGTTCAGGCTTTGCGGAGGAGATGAGGGGCTTGTCGAGCGGGGCGACGCTTCGGAGACGGAGGAGCCTCGAGGATACAAAAGGTTCTACTTCGAAAGACGTCTCGAGCCAGTTGATTCAACGAGCCCAGGAGCTAGCAGGAGGCCGCAACAAGAAGGAGAGTGGGACCACACAGAAGGAGGAGTCGAAGAAGCAAGGAGGGGGTGGAGACAGGGAAGAGCTTCTGACCTTGTTGAACCTGGCCTCAGGAGATCGTCGAGACCGGGGGCGAGACCGCAGAGATGGTTCGAAAGACGAGGAGAAGAGAGGGCGCTCCAGAAAGAAGAAGAAGAAGAAGAAAAAGGGGCGAGACAAAAAGGAGAGAAAGAAGAGAAGGCTAGTCAACGGGGTCATAGTCAGCTCCCCAGACAGCGACGGCAGCTCGGAAAGCAGCTCCAGCTATGGGGAGTCCGACAACGGCGAAGACTTCGAAGCGCCGTTACGCCGCCGCTCAAAAGCCAGCCCCGGATCGGTGCTCCGCATCCTCGTACAGAAAGCCCAGGAGGCTTTGGACCAGAGTTCATTGGTCGAAGTGAACCGAGGAGCCAGCAGTTCGATAACAGATGGGGTGAAGATATGCACATACTATCAACTCCACATTCGTCCTCAGCACTCGCACCAAAAGGCGGCCATGCGCGACTTGTGGTTGATGGCGCAGGCCATCGACACACTACGATCAGGAAACATAGCTCGCACGGCGGACCTCCTGTCGGGACACTTCCTAGCAGCGCATCAAGCCCTTCTGGATCAATCTTGGTCCCAGGCCAAGTATTTAGAGGTGGCACAAGGCGAGGAGGCCAATGCAACGTCGGCAGCAGTGTTGCTCGAGGCGCGAAAGCATGCCAAGGCGAGCTTCAAGGTCGAGACGCCAGACGCCTGGTATCCACAAAAGGGCTGGCACAAAGGTTGGTCCAACAGTTACAAAGGAGGAGGAAGTTGGCAAGGAGAGAAGAGCAAAGGCAAAGGAAAGAAAGGATCCAAATACAAGGAGAGGACGCCATGGCAGGACAAGGAAGGAAAAGGAAAGAACAAGTGGAAGGAGTCTCAGGACAAAGAGAAGGAGAAGGATTGAAGAGGTTGAGGGCGACTGTAAGTCCCCTAGGGGAGATGGGGGGCAAGGCGCCTAGCTTTGAAGAGAGGAGTGTTGTTGAGGAGAGGGCTCAGTCGCGCATAAGCATTGACTTTGAAGGCACCACGAGCTTAGAGGCTGAGCTTGAGGCTACCGAGAGGGTAGATGAGTTTCACTCAGGTCAACACATCTGCGAGAGGATTGGTGGCAGTGTTACAAATCTCAAGAACGCTGGAACACTCCTGGCGTGGATGGTTGTGCAATGCATGTTGAGAGGAGAGCGTGGCCCGTGGCGGTGGCTTGCTACAGTCCTTTTTGAGTCATCCGCAGCTGGTCATGAGAAGCCTGTGAGAGCTGTCTCATTCCCAATGAGGCGAGGAGATCTAGAGGATGTGTTTTTAGAGCTTGGCCGCTGAACGCTTTTGGAGGTGGCCAGTGAGGATTTCTCCGCAAGGTGGGCCCGAAAGGCTTGGCTTTTCCTGGCGCTCCACGCCTGTAGCGGCCTGGCTGGCCCAGCTCGGCCGCTGGCACCGGGCAAGTGGACAGCGCTGGAACGAAGAGGTGCAGAGGCTGGCATGCGGGCTGTCGAAAGACTTTTGGCCTGCAGCGAAGAAGCCGTGTCACCGTTTGAAAAAGTGGGACAGGAGTTGGCTGCTGCTAAACTAGATTATACAGGTGAAGAAACAGGAACGTGTGAGTTGTTAACCCTTGAACAGATCCTACCAGCCCTGCCTCCAATGGGGCATGGCGGTTCGATCAAGTTGATGGATTTGGTGTCGGTTGCAACACAGGAGGTTTTGAGTTCACCCCATAAGCTGTTGAAAGCTGATTTTGATCAACCACGACCAAAAGTACCTGCTTCCGTTCATTTTGCTAAAGGGGAACAAGACAAGATTTGCGATGAGTTGGTTAGGAGAGGAGTTTGCGGCTGGGTCAAGGCTTCAGAGGTCATTTCGGTTAGGGGCGTACCAGTTCTAAACGGACTGTTTGGAGTGAAGAAACCTGCAACACTTCCGGACGGCCGACACACCTTGAGAGTGATAATGAACCTCAAACCTTCGAACAGCGTGTTGACACAAATAAGAGGAGCAGTAGAAGGGCTTCCAGCCATCACAAGTTGGCAAGCCGCAGTATTGGAGACGGATGAATGCTTTCGGTTCTACCAATCTGACATTTCCTCAGCTTTCTACCTTTTTGAACTTCCAGAGTGTTGGATGCCCTTTCTATGCTTTGACGTTTGTCGACGAGGTGAGGCACTAGGTTTGGATCCTTCCTGCTCTTACTTTCTCTCATGTCGGGTCCTCCCCATGGGATTTCATTCATCAGTCTCACTCATGCAGGAGGTTAGTGAGACGGTGTTATGGAGAGCGGGTTTAGCTCAATGCAACCAGGTCCGCAGAGGACAACCTGTGCCTCAGTCCTTGCTTCAGGCAGCCCGCCGTTGTTGTGCTGAAGGGCGGTCTTTCTGGCAAGTGTACCTTGACAATTTTATGGGGGGTGACAAAAGAATCCAAGGTGAGAGTTCGTCGATTGGTGACCAACTCCATGAAACAGTGGAAGCAACTTGGAAATCCCATGGCATCCTTTCAGCTGAGAAGAAGCGGGTGTCCAATACCAATGAAGCTGAGGAGTTAGGAGCCCTTTTGCATGGAGACCTAGGAGTTCTGGGAGGGTCGCCGAAGAGATTTTGCAAACTGGTTCAATCCTCCCTTTGGCTTCTTGCGCAAAAACCCCTCAAAAAGAAGACAGTTCAGGTAGTTGCTGGTCGATGGGTTCACGTGATTCAGTTCAGGCGTCCTGGTATGAGTTTCCTCGACAAATGTTGGAACTTTATCAACAAAGAAGGAACTGATAACACGTTAGCCCTTCAGACCAAGAGAGAGTTCTTCCTTGTGATGGGAGCGATCCCCCTACTTCACACCTGTCTAAATGCAGACATTGACAAGAAGATTTGGTGCAGTGATGCCTCTGAGAGAGGGGGTGCTGTGGGCTATGCCTCAGAGTTGACCCCAGAAGGGATGGACTTCGTGATGTCCAGTAGGATTTCTTCACGAACCCTGGGAACGAGTCCCATCCTTGTGGTTGGACTCTTTTCTGGGATTGGGGGCACCTTTCGCATCTACGACATCTTAGACATCATACCGAGGGGTTGCATTGCAGTCGACATCCATGCGCCAGCAAACAGAGTGGTGAGTCGAAGGTGGCCAAGTGCCAAGATCCTGAGGGATGTTCGGGCTATCGCAAGAAGTGATGCGCAAGAATGGGCCCGTGACTTCTACACCGTAGACGAAGTCCACATTTGGGGAGGCTTTCCGTGTCGAGATCTAAGTTCGGCCCGGGCCGGACGCATGAACTTGCAAGGCAGTGAAAGCGGGCTTTTCTTTGAATTCATCAGGATATGGAATCTAGTTGCAGAAGAGTTCCCGGCTCGCGTGAAAGTCAAAGTGGTGGCAGAGAATGTCGCATCGATGGATGAGAGTGCCTCTCAGGAGATATCGGAGTGGATGCAATGTCAGCCTTACTTTGTGGATTCAGTTGACTCAGTCCCCCTTCGTCGCCCACGGTTGTGTTGGACTACAGAGGTTGTTGAGGGTTGTTTAGAGGGACTTGACTTTGTTCCGGATCGTAGATGGACCACCATTTCGGCACCTTGTCCTTATCCCGAAGTTGGTCAGTGGCTTACCCCAGGTTACTCTTGGCCAGGGCAATTCCAAGCGGGAGCTTTCCCCACATGTATGCGAGCAGTCTGGAAGGAAAACCCCCCTTTCAAACCTGCCGGGTTGCACAGAGCCGATCAGGACTGCCAAGCACGATGGGCCCTCAGTGGGTATATTTACCCTCCTTACCAATTTCGAGAAGAATTCCTTGTTTGGAAAAATGACAAATGGTGACTAATCAATAGCGACGAGAGGTGTGTTTTGATGGGGTATGGTCATCAACATTGTGAGGTTGCGTGGGCTGCTAGCAAGATCAAGACAGACCGACCTGGTTTCGAACGTGAAAAGTGCTCACTCCTGGGTGATGCTTTCAGCATCTTTTCGTTTGTTATTTTTGGAAGCGCACTGTGCAAGGACTTCCTTCCAAAAGTTGATTACAGGCATTTATGTCAGAGGATGGGCATTGCACCAGGGTTTAGAGCTAGCTTTAGACTTCAAGCTCCTCTTGCACTTAAGCTACAGTACGGATGTCAACAAGTTGCGAGGAGTCAAGGTCCTTTCCAGGTTGAAGACCTTAATCGGTTGCTGTTAAGTCGAACAAATTTCACGGGAAGCGACGTTCGAATAGTTAGTGGCGACCTGGTCAACCCGCGTGCGTTTCCACGGCAATCCATTTGTGCCCAGTGGTGGCACTGGCAGAAAGGCTTTCATGTTGTGTGGCCGCAACCGCAACATATTAATCAGCTCGAGTTGAAAGCCATTCTCCTCAGTGTGTTGAGAGGCATTCGTTCCGAACGATGGATGCATCGCCGCATCTTTCACTTAAGTGACTCTTATGTCTCCATCAGTGTCATCTCAAAGGGTAGGTCTAGCAGCCGAATGCTCAATCGACTCCTTAAAGTTCTCAACGCCCACCTGTTGCTCTATGGAATCTACTTAGTTCTTGCACACGTTGAGAGTAGCGAGAACCCCACCGATGGTGAGAGTCGCCGCTAAAGTAGTTCATCGGCGTACCCGGCGAGAACGCCGACGCGAACGCCGGGGGTTGAGTTTGAGAGATGCTGGAATTAGCTTAAAGACTCGTGCAGCATATGTATGGGCGCTGAGTCTCTTGTTGCCGTTCATTGAACACATCCGCAATGAAGCCGAGTTGGATTCAGCTGTCGCCGAATGGGTTGAGCTTTGTTGGGAAGATGGGGAGTCGCTTTACACAGTTGGCAATGCCTTGTCGGGTTTGCACTTCTTCGAACCACTTACAAAGCGTAGGATTCCCAGCGCGTGGCGACTTTTCGCTACCTGGCGCAAGGTTGAGTGGCCAGCTCGTGCGCCACCTCTCACGAGAGACATTGTTCTTTCCATGGCCTACTATGCACTTTGCCATGATGATTTGTTCTTCTGTTGCCTGTTGTGCTTGGGATTTTTCACATTGTTGAGAACAGGCGAACTTTTGAACGTTCGTGCTTCAGACATCCTCGTCAACTCGCGGCAGCTAGTGATCTCATTGAAGCATACCAAGACCGGTCAGCGCAACGCCGCTGATGAAATGGTCACGACGGACAACGAGTTCACTCTTCTTGTGGCGCAGACCGTCAAAGATGTGATGGACAGCAATGGAGTTTCCCAAGCAAAGTTGTGGTCATATTCCCCACAGGCATTCAGAACGCACTTTGACTCGTACTTACATCGCTTCAAAATCACCTCGCTGGGCTTCCGCCCTTATAGCTTGAGGCGCGGAGGGGCCACATGGCTCCTCCAGAGTACAGGTTCGATGGAACTTGCTTTGTTGAAGGGCCGCTGGTCCAGTCACCGGGTGGCCAGAGTTTACATTGCTGATGGCCTGTCGAAAATCCCAGATATAGTGCTTCCAGAGCCAAACATCTCATTCGTGCCTGGGATCCACGTTGTCAAGACGCCGCCAAGGGGGACCGTGGAAAGGTGTCCTGATGCTCTTGTTTTCTTCTTCTCTGCGCCTGCATTGGGCCAGAAAACACTGACAAAAGGTAAATAAACAGTGCCTGCATGGGGCACGGATGTTTTTGA